ACAGTTTCTCCTTCTAACCTGTATAAATGCCAAGACATTTGCCAATGACATAAAGGCATTAATGGATCACATGTTTCTGCTGCTGATAATCATCAGTGGAAACTGTAAACTGGTCTCCTGAGAATGCCATTCCTGTAAATGTGAAACATCAATTCTCCTTATCTGCTTTATATTCCACCTCTGCTAAACTCATACTCAACATGAAAATGGATATAAATGCAACCACTTAAAAATGATTCCCCCCTAAAAATAGTTAGGGAAATATTTAACTACAGATTGGTGAAATAGCCCAGCTATACAGTCCAGATTGTAAAATTAATTCCCTATGTGGCTGAAGTGATCTTGTAAGTGAAATGACAAGCATGATACTTAGAAAAATTCTAGTGTTCTGAACAATAGGGACTACCTCAGATTTTAGAAATTGCCATATGCTAGACATCCAGCTAAGGTCTGGAATTTTCTATAGTCTGCGTACTTGGAACAAACATGAAGAGGTGGATTGCCTTTGTTTTTATAAGTGTTAAACCTGGACTGAGCATATCCTCACTAATCCAAAGACGTCTTCAAATTCCTCTGCTGGTTTTCCTACCAAGTTTCCCACAACTCCTCTTCCAACAGTTAATGACATTGCCAAGACATCTGAAGTTCAGAAGACCTACACAGGGTGCTGCAGGTTGAATTTTAGTTACACAAACAAGGATAAAGCAGGCAAACCTACTGAAAGAATCAGGGAACTCAAACAATCATTCAAACACTTTACTACAATGTTGTTAAGATTCATGATTTCAGTTTCCCATTAATCAAGCCAATCAATAAGATTGAGAGCAAGTGTTCTACCTGTAAAGTCATCATGAATTTCACATTTTATTCATTGAGTATTGTCATAATTAATTTCCATAGAAACAGTTGTGATGGTAGAAATTCACAGGTATATTCTATTAGAGCAAATCAGACAAGAGGACTCTAAAGAAGACTCTAAACATACACACAGCCTGCAAATCAGTAGTATCAATAAAATATTTCTGAAACTGTCTTAAAGTATAGTTGAATAGTTGTTAGAATCACCAACATTGTCACGTGCAGGTGTAGGCGTCCAATGAAATTTACTACTGATTGAATTTACAAATACATAGTAGAAACACTTTCATGAATAGGAAATAGGCCCTCTGCATAGCCTTTTTTTTTTTTTTTTTTTTTTTGTAATATCTCAGTGTAATTAAAAAGAGTGCTGCTATAGGTAGAGTCTGCAGGATAAACTGACACACACAAATGTCATAAAAGAAAAACAGAGCACCTGCACAGAAAATAAGATCATTCTGCTGTGTACAAAAAGCATCTATTTATACATCATCATTTATTAAAACTTTACCCTAACACAATGAAAACTATGTTGTACAGCCATTTTGATACTCACTTAACTCTCTTCTGAAGTCGTAATGCTAAAGATGGGGAAATCAGAACCTGTGTAAATCACACAGATCCCCAAATCCCTTAAAACAATACATTTCTTGCAAGCTGCACAGTGATTGCCTGATATTTTATGCCTTCCATACAGCCATCTTAGCCCTTCTGTTGGACACTGGCGCTGTTATCTGACCATTCTTTAAGCCATTTGCTTACCAATTCTACCAACAATTATATACATTCATCAAATTCCCTAAATATGAAAGAGCAGGAACTAAAACCAAAAATCTGTTGTGGAATTCTCCTATTACAGTACCTGATTCTTCATTTTAAGTAGTCACTCTATGTACGAAGGGTTTACATAAATGTGAAAGACATTGTAACTCCGTAAGTATATTGAGTTCCTGTCTTTCTTCCCTTTATAATTAGGATAAAGTTAAAATAAAACAATTACTTAACATGACATCGAAGTTGTATGACACTTCAGGTCCAAAAATCAAATGCGTAACACTACGAAAGAGGTGGTGTCATACAAAGTGAACACCAATTGACACGATCTGCTTTTTGGATGCAACAGTACTTAGAGTTCCCTCAAATACAAGCTGTTACCTCTTTTGGAAAGGTCATTTTACCCCAGCTAAGAGGTCCTCTTACCTCTTTTGCTTTGAGCAATGTAAGCAAGTTGTTTCAGTAATAAACATGCTTCAGATTTGAAGGAAAGGCTACTGGGAATAAGGACAGTTTTTCCCCTGCTACTGTGTGAGAAAAGATTTAAGCCTTTTCTACACAATTTACTGTCTTCTCCATTCAAAATTGGTTCAAAAGTATGCACACTATACAAATGATGAGATTTACATACAGTTAGGCAAAACAAAAAAAATTTATCCCCCAACTTAAATAAAATTCAAACGAATTCCCAATGGCAGGTCCAACTGCATTCTTGCAACACCAGCATAAACATCTCTCCTTCAGATATACTTTAAAATGATGCAAAGATAGTTAATGTAAAAAATGAATCCAAAATACTGAGGTATATATCATAATTACTGAAAACAAATAAGCTTAGATACAAACAGTTACAGTACAACCACAATCTCATGTAGCTCCAAACTACTGCAGTACAAGACAAAGGAGATGCTCAGTAAGACAAAACTCAAAAGCACAGAAAGGAAACACTTGTGTGCAATATAAGCACAGAAACTCTCACATCAAGGCACCAATAAACCAGAAGGAAAAGCAATTCAACAGTTTGCAACATCCAATATATAGCTTTCAAAATGAACCAAAGTTATTTTGGAAGATACTTGGTATTGGGCATTTCATGTTTAATGGCTATGACCTACAGAAATTAAAAAAAATATAACAAATTTGCAAAGAATTGAGTAAGAAACTGATTTTCCTGTTCTCAGACACTCTTGATTTCTCAAAGATCACGACAGTGAAGTAGAAGCATATGAGAATTGGTAAAACGTGACAATCTATGTTCTATTTAGTACCAAATTATTTCTAACTGGCAGTAGTTTTGTATCACTAACAAATTTAGCTCCTTTACCCTCTAATGCTTGACAGTTCTGATGTTGATACACCGAATTCTCTAATAAATATTTTAAGATTTTGTTTCACTAAGCCTTTTATATATAGCATTATTATGAAGCACATAGAAGGGAAGTTCACTCCCAGAATACTTTTCTGCAATCTGTACAATTTTTGTTCTGTGTATATTTTTACCTTTTCTAACATGAAGTATTACCCATATTTATTACTACAATTTAACATGAATACACGATTCAAAAGTTTGATCTGAATTGTTATAAACAAAGTTCTTGAAGACTATCTGATGACAAAATAAGAATACAATCTGAAGAAAAGCAATAGCATGCAGAAAGCTATTTATAACTTTTCTATCCCACACAAAGTCATCTGTTTTGAGATGCTTATGCAAATGCGTCTTATTTTTAAGAAAGCACGCAAGAACACTGATAACATAAGAGCTCTTCTGCCTGCTAGGATGTATGACTTAACATGTTTTTTGTTTGTTTTTTCAAACCGAGAGATCTGTGGAGAAAGATATCCTAAAAAAAAAAACAAAAAAAAAAAAAAAAACAAAACCAACACATGGGGGTCTAAAGGAACGTCTCCAAAGAGCTACTCTTAGTAACTCCTTGGGTCATGCCTTCCTACTCCAGGTTGTCTGTATTTCTGTATATATTTTCAAAACACTCATTTTGAAAAAACAAAAACAAAACAACAAAAAAACCACCATGACAGTAAATAAGCTAGATGTGAAATAAAACTGACCTGTAACCTCCCCTCAATCTCAATTTTGCACTTCTTGAAGGGAAGGAAATAAATTCCTCTCAAGACCACCTGCTTCAAAGAATTATCAATAGCTAAACCCCTGTTTTGGCTTCAAAATGGAGAAAAAATGATGCCTAAATAGAGGTTTGGTGTTTTCATTACTACTCAGAAAGAAAGGCTCCATGTCCCTCCAGCTTATAAAGAAAGCACTACAGAATGCATTTCTAATGAAATGCTTAAGAAAACAAAGCAATGATGAAAACTTCCTGTATTCTGGAAATAAATAATATAATGTAATAATTCAGTGTCAGAGGACCATCTTAGCAAGGCAAGCAATTTTTAAAAAGTCATAAAGAATATAATCTCACACTCTCATGAGGCCATACTAGCTGAAGAAAGAAGGGGACATGCATGCTTCTTGGAATAAAAAAGAGCATGTCTCAAAAGTTGAATTAGGGTAGAATAAAAAGGAATAATCTTACTAATATGAATAAGTCCTGTGAAGAGAAATAAACAAGGGCAACTCTCTTCTTTGACATATGTTCTCAAACATCAAATACAAACACAGTATTTCAAGTATTCTGTGCAAAACCTGTTAAAGACCATTTTCTAGGAGCAGTTGTGTCAAAAACAAATTGCTATTTCTTTACCACAGTTTCTGTTCTGCTTCAAAGTTGGTTTCGTTTGCTTCTGACAGAAAGCCCTTAGATCCAAACTGTCTATATGGAACGCATGTCCTTGAAAGACATTTGCAACAGGGAGCTTAGAGACAAGCATTTTCACCAACTACAGACAATATAAAAACAAATAGCTTTTTTTTTTTTCCTCTCATTTATAGTTCAGAGTAGCTATACCTTTGATGGACAGCAGTTCTGCCATTTAGCACACTATGAAGAACAGAAGTACACTACACATGCTGCTTTAGTAAGAACAAACAGAATTTGGCACACCCTGATACTCTAACAGTGTTTCCAGGATTCACTGTCACCTGCAAATCAGTGGATATATTTAATCAGATGAAGTAAGCACTACAGTGTTAAGTTTTATGGGCAAAGTCTTTTGTTCAGTTAGTTTGCAGTGATGGCTTTCCTCACCAAGGAACAAAGCCCTAAGTGCGCTCTGTAACTTCAGCAGAAATATCAGCTTCACTTCCAACTCCTGCCTCTTCCCACTGCCCCTTAATCTGCACCAATTCTGCAGTAACATTATAAGCAACCAATAAGCCAAACACAGTCACTGAGATCTCAAAAAAAAAAAAAAAAAAAAAAAGTCTGAAACAGTAAACAAATCCAACTTACTCTGCTTCCACACAAATTGATGTGCTGACACAAGCTGGGGGTGGCCTTGATATGTGAACATACATCCAATAGTCAGGATAGAGAACAGCAATTGCTACAAAAAGAAGGAATTTTTTATGCCACACTTTCACCTTCAGCCTTTCCAGACACTCCAGGTTAATTTTCAGAGACAACTCTTAATCAAATTTCATTAAAGTGCATTCTTTCTGCCTGCAATAAATCACACCGGATACAACCAATAGTCTCTAACCCTTGCAATTAGAAAAAATGAAGTAAAATAATTAAAAAAAAAAAAAAAAAAAAAAAAAAAAAAAAAAAAAAAAAAAAAAAAGAGTTCTAAAGCTGATGTTAGCCCACTGTGGGATGTGGAAAGCAGGGTTTGTTATGAAAAAGTGACTCAGTGGCCCAGGAGATATTCTGTATAAGACATGCCATGTACTCTTGGAAAAATCAGAGCAGAAATACTAATCCCTGTACTAACATTCACTGAGTTTGGTTCACATCCCTGTTGTGTGATTTCTAGTAGCATTTCCATTAAAATATTAGTCATGTCCCTGGAACAGCTTGGAGGTTGTAAAGCCTAATTTACTATCCATAATTAGAGCTTCGCCCATGTTTGCAAAGATGTAACTAACACCAAGCATTAGAAAATGATACTGGAATAGAAAGCTTTACTTGTCAAGGTCTCCACCATGAATAAGATCTACTACCAGTTGCTTTGAATATTATGTAAGAGAAAGCTGTATCTGTAAAAGCTGTAGTTACTTCAGGAAAAAGACAGTCTGAACAAGACTGAGAATACAGCAAAGGCTGCTCTGGACTCTCAACAGCTCCCATGAGAGTCTGGCATCCAACAGCCTCTCCTGTCTCTGTTCCTGCTTTTAAAAAATAATCAAAAGTAATACTACGTGAATCAGAAGGCTATTTTTGTCCATGTCAACCATTTCAGTGAATTAAAAATAAAAAATCTGAAGTGATTATTAAAAAAAAAAAAAAGGAAAAAAAAAAAAAGAAAAACCAAAAACAACAACATTCTTTAGAAATGGCAAAGTAAACCTAAGAAGAGTCTGCAGCAGTAGACAGGTTTGGCAAGTGTAATTTAAGTACACTAGAGCAGTACAAGGGACAGAAGAACAAGGGGGGGGGAAAAAGATGGTAGAAACATATGAAAAACAAATAAAATAAAGTTATCTGACTGAAAAAAAATCTTATTTAAAAATATTTATATGAAGTGCATCTGTAACTGCAGGTCATCAGATTACATCCCATCAGTAATCCTTATCAGACCTACCAGTTCAAATTCAAGTTGTCTGACCACTGAATGTTTACACAAAGAACACTTTCCACCAGTATTATTAACTAGCTAGTCAGTACAACAAGTTCATTTTACAGCTGATTTAGGAACTTCATTACTAACCAACTAACACACAGAATCACAGAAGGTTAAGTTTGGAAAGGACCTCTGAAGGTCATCTGGTCTCAACAGGAACACAAGGTCTGATTCATGAAAAATATCTAGTTGCCTGCTATGTTGCAGAAATATAATTCAGTAGGAAGTATCCCACTTGTGTGTTTTGGTGGTTTTGCTTTAAGTACAAAGATAACAGTCACGTCTGTGGGATAGTTGATGCTCCTGGGATCACAAGTCTCTATTGTCAACAGAGAGTCATTAGTAAAGCTTCTCTGGAATAGGATCCAACAGACAATAAAATCTAAATATTCTTTCTTTAAAATGAGTATTAATACATTGATTATGACCATCGTCAGGTGTTAAGTTTTTGGTTAGCCTCCAGCATGATGAAATTACCACTTATTTTTCTGCCATTCAGAATCATACAGGCTTCCTTATACCAACACCAGGAGCTAGATGAGTTCACTCCTTTTTTTCCAGACAATTACAGCTCAAATTTTTTCCTTATTCAATTTTCCTCAAATACGAAGTTTTAAAATCTAATGATTACTGATACTATTCAGCTCAAGCAAGCAGGAAATTCAGATTTTTTCTAATTAGCAGAAGCACAGTGTTGCCAGTGTGACTAGAAACACCAGTTTTTTAAAGCTGTCTGAAACATGTTTTCAAGCCCTACACAGTGATAAGAGGCTGGACATGAGACCTTCAGATGCGCCATTCAAGCAACTTCAGTGAATCTAAATAGGACAGAGTTCACTGTTCTACAAACTCTACAGAGACAACAATTGCTCATTTTTCTAGGGAGGAAATAATTTCCCCTCTGTAACTGTACACTGCTGTATAAATTACTTTAAAGATGCATCCATTACTAAGAAACTCAGTCATCCTTGGAAAATAGGTTAACAAGGCTTGAGTCTGGGTGATTGCAGAGATTTTTAAAAAGCCAGGAAGCATTTTTGGTATTCTTCTCTAGCTAAGAGTCATCATACAGCACTTTGCCAGATACCCAATCTGTGATGGTTAAGAAGTATTTTGTGATACAGAATGAGTAAATGCCACTGAGACCTTTCTTTAACTGGTAAACTTAAAATTACTTTCAAACATGTAAAGCCACATTACAGCAGAAAATAACTTCATCATCAACCTTTAGCAACTCCTTCCCATAACTTATAGCAATGGTTTCCAGAAGCATCACCAATTTGCTTACAGGCAAGGCACAGCTGAGCACTGTGCAGACTGGTCAGCATGGTAACAACTCAAGGCTGAACAGAAGTCCAGAAGTGCTGTGTTCATGGCTTACTGAATACACATCTGGCTCTGGAAAGCTGCTGAAAACCTCTCACAGTTCTACCTTCAATAACTCTAAGAAAAATAAAGGAATAAAGCAACAGATGTACAACAGCTACCCATTCTTCCTTACAGACATTATTAAATCTTTGTGTCTCGTCACACCTAAGCTATTTCAACGATATTTTATATGTAGACATTGCAAAATGTCTGCAGGTTTATGAAGTTTTTCTAAACTTCAGCCACTTTGAAAATTTAAAACATGCCACAGGTGTGTTTAGCATTGTAAGAAGTTCCATAATTCACACATGCCCATCTCTCCAAATAGTCTTTAGACATCATGTCTTAGCTTAACCACAAAATATTAATCAGAATGAGTAGAACAGAGTTGTTTTTTAAATTGAAGCCCTTCATCATCTGTAGAACACAGATCCTAAAAAAAATATCAGAAAAAGCACTACAAGCAAATTACAGTGTCCAAATAGTCTTTTTCCAGGTCCAAAAAGGAAAGGAGATTGTCTAACAATATATCCTCTAGACTTCGCTCTCCACAATCTCCATGGCAGTGCCCCAAATCAGTAAGAAAACAAATTGCTAGATAAAACACCAACCTTTACAACAAACTATAAAGAAAAATAAGCTCTCTTTGTTCAGTTGGTTTCTTGCACTGAACTGAAGCTTCAAATCTCCTTGAAACACACCAGCTTCCTTTCACAAAACTTCCCATACTCCAGCAAATTTACAATGGCAAAATTTATTATAGGCTAAGAACTGGTCTAACTTTGTTATCTCTCAGCTGAAAACTATACCTCAAAAAACAAACCTGAATTCACAATATTTTGAAGAATTATGTTTGAGTAAAAAATGCCTGGGGTTTGTTGCTTTTTCTGTTGCATTTGTTGGTTTATGCAGGGTTTCTTTTTGTTGTTGTTTTTCATTGTTTGTTTTGTGGTTTTTTGTGTTTTTTTTTTGTTTTTGCTTTTTGTTTGTGGTTTTTTTGTGTTTTTTTTTTTTTTTTTAAATCACCTATTTTGAGCAGACTCAAACCTGTTGCCCATTGAATAAGTGATACCTACCCCACGAATTTTTCCCCCACATCTACAGACCAAACTGTAGTAAAAAGATGGTTACACACAGCATGGGAAGCCTATACTGCCAAAAACTCCAGGCCAAGAATGGAAGCAAAAGAATGGGCATCAAAAGTAGTGCCAAGCCTTCTATCCATCTATTGCTAAACTGGCAAGAATTTCTACTACTTGATGAAAATAGAACTGAATTCTCCTACTTCCTTGCCAAATATAGGGTAAAGTCTGTAGCAGAAGGCAAAAAGCCAGTGTTTACAGATGGCCAACATGCTGTGCAGCCCTGTTCTGGTTAAGACTTGTATTTTCCGACAAAATCTCCAGAAAGAATGATGCTGCAGATGGAGTAAATGTGCCAAGGTTTGCCCGAGAGTTCTGAAATGCACAGCCTTGATGGTGCTCAGACACTGAAATAGGCTTTCCTAGCAAAGCAGTTGATGCCTCATGTCTTTCAGTGTGATTGGAGTTAAGATAATGCCCTCAATAAAGTTCTTTAAGTGTTGGTTGGCCCTGAAGCGGTCAGGCAGTTGGACTCAATCTTCATAGATCCCTTCCAACAGATCTGTTGCAATTTTATTTAATTCTAATTTATTTACATGTATTTCAGATTAAATGAAACAATTGGTCAGAGGTTGATTGATCAATGCATACTATGCAAACATAAACCTACAGCACAGGTTTTTCACCACGTCTAAGTCAAATGTCTAATTTCATGCCTAAGGTAATTTTTGCACAGATTCTTCCTTTACTACTGGCACAAGAAAGTGTCAGAGATGCAGTGATACTTTTTGCCTTCATCATCTCACTTCATCCTCATGCTTTCTGTACTGTTTTTCCTGCTTTATGGAGGGGAATTGTGTATTCAAATCCAACCTTTCATCTGTAGAATGCAATTTCCCAGTTCAGTTTCGCTAGTTATTCTGCAATCACGCATGCTTTTTCTTTGTTACTCACGATTTTTAAGCCAGATATTCATACATCTGACTATTTATTAAAAATAAAAAAAACACCATGCACTCTTAATTTGTAAAGGTTACTGCATATAAATGTTACCAGTACCTAAAAACCAGAACAGTGTAAGCCCGTGGTGCAACTGGGTGTCTCACAGAATAATCTCTTACACTGGGAGAAATTAACGTACTAGGAAAATAAGACTAAAGAGCATACAAGGTCCTCATTTCTAAACAGCTTACTGATTTCTTTTCAGATCTAGTCAGATTTCTTTATAATTTACTGTATCTTCTAAAACATCAACAAAACATTAAAATGAGATCAGGTAACGTTACATATGTGTATTTCTGCTGAAGTTAGAAA